CCAAATTTTATTTTGATTTGATTTTATTATAATCTGGTTTCGTTTTAATCTGGTTTCGTTTTAATCTGTCACATTAATTGTTATAAAATTATGATTAATTAGAGAATTTGTTATTTATAACTAAGCATGACATTAACAATAACTTAATTTGTGTTATAATTAGAAGAAATTTATTTATAGTACTGTAATTTGTTGTATAAACCACTATAAAAATTTAAACCTTAATTTGGTCCAATTTTTTTCAGTAAAAACCAATTATTTTAAATATTCACGGCACAATTTCTTAAAAATTTTAATTACTAAATTAATAGCCTTGTGATTAAATAAGGTTTAAATTTTCTACAGAGGGGGATGAATTATGAACAAATTACGATAATAAAAATATTTATTTTCTTGATGGCATCAAAATCCAACAAATTATTGAATTGAATTGAATACTATCGGAAAAATCGTGGTTATATTGCAAATCAAGAATGAATTATTATTACGAAATGAGCTGTTATTCATTCTGGTACAAGATGAAAATTAATGAAAATTGACAAAAATTGAGGCTTTATTTTATTAGTAAGAGAAGAATTATAGAATCATAATCTCTATCGATAAAAGTGTATTTGTATTTATTATGATAATGATTTATTATAAGATAACGCCATATGGAAAGTGAGTGATTTACTTACAATAAAAAGGGGAGGAGGATAAAAAACTTTTCTAATTTAATTACTACACGAAAAAATTATTACCGCACGCGGTAAAAAAATCTCGATCCTCGTAATAAAAAAAAAGTTGGAATTTCGTGGCGGTCTTGAGAAGAGATAATGAAAAAAGTAATGAATGAATAAATGAATGAAAATTACCGTGCGTCTTGATTTTGTGTTGTCGTATATAGTGTTGAAGATAAGAAAAGTCATCATGAACTCCCCCTCCCGGCATGAAGAATAATAATAAAAAAATAAATATCTACAAATTAAAATTTACAAATTTTGAGCTCTAAAGCGAGCAAAATAAATGGAAAAAATCAAATAAATGTCTTTTAATAAACATCAAAGTCCATTCCACTAGAATAATTCCGCAGACGACGTCCTTTATTACATTGCGAAGGAAACAAACACCTCCACTCATAACTTGCAATTAAGAAAATTTTTATCTTCCTTCTCAAATACACACAACCTTAATGAATATGATGAAATAAAATAGGCACATAATGAATACAATGTTTTTATCATAAAATTGTGCGTATCTGCAAATAATAAAGTTCATATTTTCGACTTACTCAAATAAAAGAAAAAGAAATTATTTTTGATCGTCTCCAGCGGCTTCCGAAGCTTCAAGCTTCGCATAGAGAGCAATCAATTTGGCTGCTTCAATTTCCTTTGGCCAGAAGTAGGTGACGAAGTGCCAAAGTGCTTCGTGCATCTCATCCTGTTGTCCGGCAGGTTTGGTGTCGAGAACCGTTTTGATCCTTGCCCCGATCTGCAGAAGCGATGCCTTTATTAATTTTACTTTCTTGTCTTTATCTTTGAGTTGGCCAGACTCCTATAAATTTCAAAAGTTGGAAATTCAGAGTTAATTGATTGAAACAAAATATAATAAGACGCACACACACAATTATCGAGAGATACATTTTTTAGGGCCTGTAGTTGCCTCTTAACTGGACGTAAATGTTCTTTGCATTCACGATCAATGGGACCAAGTTCATCTGCTTCTTCTTCGCGATGCTCGAAAGTCTTGCTACTCTTTAGTCTTTTAGATCGTAAAGGTGATGACGTAGATTGCGTGGCTTCATCTTCATCTTTATTATGACGATGCTTTGATCGCTTAGCCTTTGATTAATTGATGAATAGAAAAAATAATTAATATAAGATCAGACAGGTAATAAATATAGGGTTTGCAATAAATAAATTATATATGTACTTTTCTTGTAGGCTCCTCAATATCTTGATCACGTAAAGCTTTCAATAAATATTCAGTTCGGCGAACCACCTTCGCAGTCTGTTTAGCGGATGATGGCGCATCGTCGTCATGATCTTCATCGCTAAGTTTTCGAGAAAGACTTAAATTCGAGTCTTCTTTGATCGATCTCCAGCTACCAAATCCATGTTTGTAAACACCAGCAAGCAGCATCGCGTCTTCTTTATCACTCCACGGTGACGACCAGTTATTTACAGGTTTTAGACTAATGTTAAACCTGAATTTTTCTGGTGAAGACAAGACTATTATATTACAATTAATAGAAAATTATTATTAGTTCGATGTATATTTAATATTGAAATTATGTCAAGAATTAAATAAAGAAATAAAACTCACCAGATATGTGGTCGTGAAGGCACTTTAAGTCACTGACCCGTTGTACCAATTGACCAGCATTAATTTTGTCTACTCCACTCCATGACACGTGTGTTACTTTTCCTTTTATTATGTTCTTATTCGCTCCATTGGAGCTTTCGACATTTCCATTACCACGTATTTCAGTGTTTCTCATTGCTTGTTCACATACCCAATATATATCGTCATAGCAGGTCAATAGCATCTCCTTGTCCTTATAGGTGAGGTCAGCTTCCCGGACCACTTCGTCGTACCGTATATGCATGTCTCCAAATTTCATTATACCTCTTATTAGAGCACGTGCCTCTTTAACAGTCAGATCACGATGGGCTATCGGTTTCTTCTTTGACCCTGCCGATGATTCGGAAGACTTTTGCTTTTTATTTCCTTTTTGCTTGAGTACTAGTTTTCCTTTACCCTTTCCATTAGTCAAGTTATTAACTGCAGATCTTTTGAGTCCAGATTTGGACTGATATTCATCTTCAGCAGAATAGTCTTTATCATCGTCGTTCTGACCACCATTAAGGAATTTTTGTCGTTCATGTTCTGGTATTATTTCATCCCAATTCAGGTCACCACCATCATAATCTGCTATCCTAAATTGTTTTAGAAATTCTTCACCACCATAACTACTTCCTGACTGAGCACCTATTGTATCATGAGTTTCAGCACGAGCAAGTATCTCGTCCAGGTCCATGTCATCGAGTTTCTTTTGATTCTCGGTCTCTTTGAACATATTTTGCGCGCCGAATTTCAAAACTGCATGTAATTCTTCTCGCGTTAGGGGCTTATTTGAACTGGTATTAGTGGTTTGTTCCTTCTTATTTTTTGGAAGAAAGCCTAACCCTGAAGTGTCCATCTGTTTTATGATACAATATTCGAGCACCATTTTGCGCTTAGCGCTTTCCAAAATGCTTTCTTCTATTGTATCTTTTGAGACGAATCGATAAACATTAACGTGATTTTTTTGTCCAATACGATGAGCGCGTGCCATTGCTTGCATATCAGCTTGAGGGTTCTAAATATTAATAAATATAGTATTTTAATAAAAGAAGTTATATGAAGACTATTGAGAATAACTTACCCAGTCGGAGTCGAATATAATCACAGTATCTGCCGTGCTAAGATTAATACCCAATCCACCAGCTCGAGTTGAAAGTAGAAATACAAAATCCTGCGAGTCTGGTGCATTGAAATGTTCAATAGCCCGTTTACGAGCATATGAAGAAACTCCACCGTCTAACCGTTGATAGGGATATCCTTTAAGTACAAGATAGTCATTCAAAATATCCAGTAGCCGAACCATTTGCGAAAAAATCAGCACGCGATGATTTGATTCGCGTAATCTCGTCAACAATTTATCCAATAACACCATCTTTCCACTATTCATGATTAGGCCGCGCAATTGTTCTTCTGTCACCGTTGAATGAGGCTCGTTACCGGGTAGTAAGTACGGGTGATTACTAGCTTTCTTTAACTCGGCCGTGATATTAAGTAGGGTCATTTGATTTGATCCGGTAATTCCTTTATTTAATACTTCAAAGTCACGTGTATATATGTGTTTATATAGATGTAGTTGAAGAGGAGATAAGCCAACCCGTAGAATGCGTTCTGTTTTCTGTGGTAGTGATTTCTCGACATCCTTTTTTAAGCGTCGAAGCATATAAGGTTCAAGCTGCTTGTGAAGCTCTCGTATCTTCTCTTCTTGTTCTGCATCGGGGGATTCAAGATCAATATCGTCTTCTTTGTCAAAATTAGGCATCAAAAATTTGAGCAGTGCGTATAGTTCTTTTAATGAATTTTGTAGTGGAGTCCCAGTGATTAATAGTCGATTCGATGTATTAAATGATGCAAGAACCTCATGAAGTTGAGATTCGCTGTTCTTTAATCGATGTGCTTCATCTACTGCAAGATATTGCCATTTGATATTCCCAAGTACTTCTCGATCTTTTAATACAAATTCGTATGTGGTGAGAAGTACATTGAACTTTATCCTTGATTTCGACGCTGGAATAAAGAATTCATGTTCTCTAATAACCTCCCGCGCCTTTCCAGGGCCAATATAGCAAACGACATTTAGTTCTGGTGCCCATGTCTCGAACTCTTGTTGCCAGGATCCGATTGTAGATAAAGGAACGACAACTAGGAAAGGACCAAATTGATTGTGTTGGTGAAAGAGATATGATAAGAAGGAAATTGTCTGTACAGTTTTTCCGAGACCCATCTCGTCAGCCAAAATTCCATTTTGATTTTTAGACCATAAATGTGCTAGCCAATTGAGGCCTGTCAGCTGAAAATCTCGTAGATCACCGCCAGTTAAGTAAGACGGTTGGGAGGACAATAGTTTGAATCTAGGTCGATTTTCTCTACTGTATTTTGTGCTCAAGTTCGGAAGTTTACGACTGTTGGATCTTTCATTGAAAGCATCGATCTCCGCTTGAAATTTTTCCTCAATACGTTCGCCATTCTCCCAGGTACAGTCGAGATAAGACAGACCTTTAAATTTGCAAAAGTAATGTGTTTGTGTATGTCCTGACTCATCATCTGTGGGGTTATTGCCAGTTTTCTGTGCGACAATACGTTCAACTGTGGTGTATTCCTCATGTGTGCCTTCGAGATGTTGTATTAGACCCTCCTGCGCCTTCTTGATATAGTTCTCGAGCTTCTTAAATCCTTTGATGCCTTTTAGATCTTCGTAAGTCTCCCATGTGTTATGAAGATGACTGAATCCTGTCCATTTTATCATGTATAACATGTTGGTCTTTGGATCGTCAGGTTCATTTGGATCGGAATCTTCCATGCGTCTGAAGTCTGCAATAAGATCAATCTGATATGATGGAGCTTAAAGAGAAACGTAAAAGCAATATTTATATATGGAGAGTATTATTAAGATTATATTCTTTAGAAGTACATGACTATAGTGAAAAACGTAACAGTTTAAGTTTGTGTCAATAGTTACTTTCTTCTTCCACATTGGGAGTACTTTCTGCGTATTGCTCGTCTTCTTCCTCGTATTCCCTTAATTGTTTGTCAATAAGATCTTCGCTATAGTTTGTAACAGTCCTTTTCCGTCGAGAATATCTGTTTCTTGAGGAGTCAGAGTCGTCGTATGCATTTGCTGAGGTATTATTTCTTCGTCTTGTTATTACTGCAGTACTCGACGACGCTCCCCAAGCATCTTCATCATTTCCATTGGATCGTGTGTATTTTAGATTATTAGGTCGTCGCCTAGCCTTTGCTTTTTTGCTTTTTACAAAATCGGAATCGTCGCTGTCTCCTGACAAGTCTGAGATCTCATCGGAAGAATTTTGAGATTCTTCCGCCTCTGACCAAGAGCCTATTAAGATATGTGTGGAAGAAGAGTGTTAATATTATGTATTGAGTGTATTGATTGTTATCGGTCAAAGAATTACAGTGATCATCATCATCGTTAACATCACAAAAGTGTTTGATGATTGAAGGTGAAAGTCCAAAGGAAAAGAAGGGAAAGATAACGTACCAGTTTCGACGCCTCTTTTTTTACGAGAGATTTGGACTCTCCTTCCGTTTTTCTTGTGCTTTTTAGACTCGATTTCCGAGTCAAAGTCAGTTTGCAAATCATCTTCCGAAGATGATGTTTGCTGTAAGTGTATGCGAAAAGAAAAAAGCTTTAAGTGATAATGAAAACGTAACAAACAGACAACGGATGAAAAACTACCTTATAGTTGACTTTTTGGAGCTTCTGCCTAGTAGATCGCCGCAAGCCGTAAAGTTCGGGATCAATCTCCATGAAATCCGAAGAACCTAAAGGTGCAAAAGAAACAAAACACAGAAGAAGTTAAGAACACGATATTCGCGAACAAATACATAACTTCATATTCTCTGCAAAGTGAAAGGTTCAAAAGGTGCAAGTTTCTTTGCTGCAAAACATAATAATTACGCGTGCGAAAGCAACACAATCTTTTTTTGGGTAAAGCGCGTTCTCATAACGCAGTAGATGATTCGAGGGGGATTTTTTTATAAAGTATAATAAAATGTGAAAAAATAGTGTATACAGTGCTTTTATAACTAGTTTTTTAAGCTGAGCTAGGTCGGAAAAGTATTAGGTAAGTGAAATATTTGGAAGTTGTGTATATTATAAAATAAGACGAAGGCAAAAAACGAAAATGTTGGGGTGGGTGCACGAATACACTGGTCGAACTCGACCGGTGTATTAGAAGAAACAAAGGCACGCAAAAAAAGGGAAATATAATCGTGGCGGTTTAGTAGTTTTTAGTGTTGGCTATATACTCACCACTCATCTTCGGAGTCTTTAGGTATTTTTTTATTAATAATTAACTATTGTATTTTATTACAATGGTCAGAGAAAAATGTTGGAAAAGTGTAAGTACTGAACCAACACTGCGAGTATGATGATGCTGAATAATGATTGATTATTTATTGATTAGGAATTAGTGACCTTTCTTTCCTCTGCGGTATATAATAAAAATGATAATTTTGATTCTGATAAAATTACAAATTTTGTTAATTCCTATATCTATATACATTGATACTCGATATATTGCCAGAACCATAGAAAATCAAAATTACTATATTTTATATGACGAACTTATTACGTTTTCACTGAAATACTATTTCGTTATAACGCGATTTCGTTATATCGAGAGGTCGTTATACCGAGTGTCCTCGTAATATTAATATCTACGAAAATTACAATAATCGCCCCTAAAACTTTTAATTCCTAAAGTGAAATAGCCCCTCAAAATATAGTAGGATACATTGTTCCTTAAATTTTTGCATGAAGAATTCAAAAAAAAAAATGAATGTATTTCGAGACATGATCAAATTGATACATAGAATCCCGAACTTGCAATGTCCTTGAGCTATTCGAGATGTTGTGTTGCTTAAATCCTCGCTACTTTTAAATAAGACAAAAATCATATGACTTTATGACAAAGGGTATTTTACGCGATAAACTAGATTTAGATTTGCCTAACGCTAATATCTAATGGTATTAGGCCCCAAAGTCACACTGTTTCTGGGCCTAAATATGTGACTATAAAATAAAACCCCTATATAGTAGACTGATAAATCTTCATCCTAGTGGATAAAGATAAGCATTTTTTGGCGCCAATGATGACTGCAAATATCAATTCACCAAAAGGAATCTAATTTGAAAAAGAAAATGTGATTGTCTGTAAATTATAAATCACAAAATAATAATGTGAACTTGATCAAATTCATCTCGCGACCACAAAAAAGGAGGTCAAATTTCCTATAAGGTGTGACTGTATGACTGTAATGATAATATCCTAGCAAATCTATTGGACGCGGGATTAACTTCGACATGTCACGTGAATCAACACCAATGTTTTCGTGGAGACGCGTCTTTGATAAAAACGGCTCGTGTAATTTCAAAGAAAAAAAAATGCAACAAGACATAACTTTTACAAGTAACAACAACAATAACAATGCTTCAATTTCAGAAATGAAAAATGAAATTTCGCAATTGCAAGAGTAAGCTGTTTTATAAGAATTGCGACAAACAAATTTTATATTAATCACAAATACTCTTCAAATATATGAAATATATGGTAGTGTTCTTGACTCGTTCAGTACCACAAAATTTTACGCGTATCAGCTTCATGACCAGTTCTTTCAACAGTTAGTCGCAGATAGGGTCATGAATAATGGTGGTAGTGGCGAAGAACACGGTGGTGGTCGTGGTGGTTCCTCTTCTTTTGTTCCGAAAGCTTTAGCAAATCCCAGGCGATACTATAATGAATTGAGGCATTTAAAAGTAATCATTCATTTTTTTCTTTTGAATTTTAGTCAGTCAAAAAACCGGTCTTATTATTATTTAATATATACACAGGAAAAATGTTCAAAGCTTCGATTCAACTATTTTGAACTAACAACGCGTGAGAAGTTTCTCAAAGTAATACTAGATGGACAACCGCAAAAAGTTTTGTTTGATGATACTATTGATGAGATGTTGACGGACGCACAGATAGTGCAACAGATGCTGATCGAGGAAAAAGATATTTTTGAATTAGGTAAGTGTTAGTGGTGTTATTAGGTATGAGTTATTATCTGTTCATCTAACAATCTATCCAGTGATTTATCTTTAAATAACTAATAATTAATGTTAAAGAGGAATACGATCTAGAAAAGAAAACAAATCTAAAAAATCTAAAAAATTTGTTTCAGCAGATTGAGAACGAGGCGATTGGTATCACGGAGGCGTTTTCTATTGGCAAGTAGTTATTATAACCAAAAGTAGTTATTATAATTTGTTTTTTAATAAGCAAAAAAATTTTGAACACGTAAACTTATTTGTATTTATAATAATAATAATAATAATAATAATGCCGGCAATATGATGATGATATCGAATAGAACACGAATATGTGTCTGCAAATGTCGAGGAAATAAGTAACTTGATTAAAGAAGTCGAGGAAATGGTTGGTGAGCTTTATAGACAAATAGACGTTATTTTATCATTGATTTTATTATTGATATTCATTTGATGATATGAAAAGGAACGCGAATTTGCAATTGTTAACCAATCTGCTAGTATGGAAAGCGTATGTTCTATTTTTCATAATTTTTCATTTACGCATAAAATTTTATTTCTAAAAAAATAATTAAATTCTAATATACAGAAATATACGATGCAAGAAGCTCAAATGATACTAGAGGAACAGGTAGATTTCGGATGGGGTGGTCAAAAAAAATAAACGAAAAAATTATTTATTTAATTCTTTAACCAGACCATGCAACTACAACGAATCAACCGCGAGATATTGAACTACAAAAATGACATAACAGACTTGAAATGTCAATACGATTCAATGGAACAAGAAGCGACAGATCTTGCTGATATCCTAAAATTACAGGAACAACGTGCCGCGGAGTCAATTCGATTGGCGCAGATTAAGGATCCGAAGATTGAGGAAACTTATGATTGGTTTGTTGTGGAAGAACGTTTACATCTGATATCTTCATTATCTTGTATTCATCGTAATTAATAATGTTTGGCGTATATCTAGGTGGACTTCAAGTGGCCAGACTTACTGTCAATTATTAGGCATAGACGACGGAGATGTGAAGTTTAACACTACACAATCATCATTTTGAACTTAATTTCTGTAATGAATTTTTATTGTATACAATTGAATTATAGTACAAGCACCCATATTTCTTCTGTGTTGTTAACATTATTTTCTCTTTGATTTATATCGTTTTTTCGTCATATGCATCTAAAGAATTATTTCACAAATGATATAATGCGAATGTGTAAATAATATACAATTTGAACAGATATAAATATAAATACCTGCTTCTCCCGCAAGCTAGGTTTCTTTTTGCACAAAACATTCTTTTTATGCACAACCATCATAAACGCTTTATTTTTAGCCTTCTCTTTATTAGTCTTGCTAGCGCCTTCCTGCTTTTTCTTGCCTTTAGACGACCCATATTTCTCACGTCCTTCGCGACCTGCTTTAATCGACTCTAGACGTTCTTCGTAGTCCTGCTTTGCTTTCTTTCGAGGGCCGGTGATTTGATTGACGTCGATAAAATCGTCATGTGCTGTCGTTCTGAATAAATTGCAAGGACATTATTGACTAAGGTACGGTAAAAATACATGAATAAAAAAATATATTTGATTATTACACGAACGTCGAAGTATCCCGTTTACGCTTTCTGTTGCTGCTTCCTTCGACCACTTGTGCTGCTTGTTCTAATCGTAATTTTTCTAGTCTCGCGAAGTCTGCGGGGGTGAGAAGCTAACAAATATAATATTATGTTATCTGGATATACAAGAGAAAAGCATATATTTTCTCGTCGTTTATTATTACCCTGGTCGTAGCGAGATTAGACATTTTAGGTTTTTGTTGGTTTTCGATTTTCAGCGTATCTTTGCTATTTTCTGATATCATTTCTTTATTTTGAGGAGTATCAGTTTTTCCATCTGGTGATGCTTCATTATTTTCATCCTCATCCGCTTCATCCTCACTACTATTACTGTTACTATTATCGGTAATAACAATATCATTGCCATCTGAGGTCACGTCAATCCACTCTCCATCTGAGGAAGGGTTTTCTGATGATGATGCTATTTCCCATTCTGCCCATTCTTTGAACATTCAAAAAAGGATATGACAGAAAATCAATATAGTGTGGTAAAAATTCGAGAAAAGTCTATTAAATCAAAAGAATACCATCTTGCACAACACCACCCTCCTGTTGTGTTCGTTCTTTATACTCTTCCAAAAGTTCAATTCCTGCAATACGATCGATCGAACGAACCTCTCCATATTGTAGTGGTTTGAATTCTTTAATATTCATGCTAACTTCTTTTCCCTGAAAACGATCAATCGTCAATTAACGAGATTAATTTTTTGTTTCTTTAAAGTAGAAATCATTACTTACGCGATCCTTGCTTTTTAACATCTCTGGATTAACTTCCCGATATAATCCGATTAGCGACCGTGCAGCCATAATAACGCTTTTCTCTTTACTTGACTTATACTCTGTAAGATCTTGTAGTAGTGTAGCATCAATTGCGAGTGGTTGACGCTGACAAATTTCTCTAATAGCGTTCAGTCTAAGAGATATAGTGGACACATATTCAATATCATAGTTAAATATTTAATACATACTCCAAAAATAATAATCTAATTGTACTTACCCAACGGTTATGACCTCTGACGCACAATGATCAGACACGAAATTATTAGCAATTGCTTTCAATGCCGGTTCAAGGGTATCCGGCGGCACTAATTCATGAGTAGCTTGCGCAAGGACCACCAGCACCATTGTCACATCGCGTTGATGAGGCTGAATATATCGCATAATGTATGGATAGAAACCCAACAATGTAAGCTTATGCACACCGATAATGCGCGATATAAGGTTCATGGTCATTAGTTTGACCTCGAAGCGATCATTGTTGGATGATTTTTGCAAGGATGAAAAAAGTTTCTCGGCAAATCCTAATTTTTTGATCATTATAATTATAGTGATAGAAATCAAAATTTTGATCGGGTTTTCTTTCTTTCTGACCTTGAGAATCGTTTATCAGATGCAGAGCCGAGAAATTAAAAGTTTCCGGTTTACTCTTTTTCTTATTTTGCTTTTTTAGTACGGCTTTAGCCTTTTCCATTTTTCGAGACGTAGATTTCTTTTTTTTGTTGATTAGGTTGATATGTTGGAGGCGTTTGATATCAGGTGTCTCGCCCTGTTGATGATATTCAACAAAAGTAAAAGTAATTATATTGAATATGCAGAATTGGGGGTAATAAAAAAGAGCGCCTTACATATGATTAATTTATCCTTCAATCCATCCAAAAAAACTAACCTCGTCATCACTACTACCATTAGCATCATCTAAATCATTGCCCAAAAAGAATTGTATAGCGGCCACTTTGATTTTTGTCACGCTGTGAAAACACCCCTCCGATATAACATTGACAGTTTTAGCGTCATTCCTAGAGATTAATTGAATCATATTCTTGAATTGAATACAAAAAAAGGCCATCGTAAAAATTAAAATCATCTTCCTCACCAAATTCCTTTTCTATACAGTTCAATACAAACATCCAAACTTTTTTTTGCCGCAATGGCGTGATCACTCATTGTTGATCCACACGATGACATACTGCCACTATTTACACCACCTCGACCACCACCTAAACTACTAATACTGCTACTATTACTATTTTTATCAGTAGACTGTAGTAGCATGGTATACATGAAATTCTGTAACGCCTTGTTTAATTTATTGTTCTTGTGCTTGACATTCGCGTTTTTTATGTCGGCGATAATATAGTTGTATAATGAGTCGCGAAGTTGCTTGTCGTGTGCGCGGAATAAGATGAAGAAGAGAGATAATAGACTGTTATTGGTTTTAAGTAAAATAAAGATAAAACATTACCATCATGCTTCGATTAATAATAACAGTAATAATAGTAATAGAGAAAAAAACCAACCAACCTACTACTTGGAATAATATCCTTATTACGCAACATAACAAGACTCTGGACCAGCGTTTTTCGAAGATCCGGGTGCATTATTTGATAGTTTTCTGATAGTATGTCAATTACGTTTTGTGGGAAAGTAGAGGTTTCCTGTGGATAGCAATCTGCTACCTACAAATAATTAATTTATTATTTGATTAAAGAATTTGATCAGATCCAATTAATCATCGAACGTTCTTTAAATCAACCAAACGATTCAACGTCACAAGTATTTCGTGGGTTAAAGTACCCTCCCCTGTAAAAATTGCAATTTAATTTAACCTCAAAGCATTAATTTAGTAATAAGAAATCCTACAGGGAGGCCACGAAACACGGTAGCTAATGTAGGGTCTTATGATCTGTATCTAAGGATAGCAAAAAAAGGTACCTGTGCAATAAAAATAATAAGACATGAAAACTCTTCAGTCCCCTCACTAGGTTTCAGCTTAAATATCGACAACTGAGACTCATAGTGTCTATATTGTTGCAGAAAATCGTCTTTGTACGAAAGTGGATCACGTTTTATCAAGTTTTGAAGTTGTGGAAGGTTTGTAGGTAGTAAGGCAGCACGATTACGTTTGCCCATTGGTGTGTGATATAAGTTGAGATTTGATCGAGAGCAAAGAATTGTATTTCGGCCGACTCTCCGGCTAAGATTCAGTTCTGAATTGTCACCGTTATGTTACTCGACAACACGAAGGCAAAAAAAATTTACAGGTCCCGTGATCTCCGATCCCGATGCCGACCATCCGATATCCCTCTTAAAATTATGCACCAAAAAATTGAAAACAAACGCTTACTTTTGAAAAATAGCTTGTATCTTGAAAGTTTACTTATGAAACAATCGTTTATGTTCTAACAAAAAGTGTTGCTTGCGAAATTTTACTATACATTACGCTCCCGTTTGCTATATTATGCATTATAATTAAGGGTGATTGTAATCACGTGATCAAAACTTATTTTCGCCATAGCTTCATAGGAAGAAATTCATGTGATTGGCTAACTTATGTTGATCCAAGCATGATTATTGACCAATCAAATCGATCAAAGAAATTAGCGAAGATTTACCATTACTGTTACTATTTATTTATATTTTAAATAGTAATACTATTCTATTTTTTAGTCATCACTATCTTTACTAGATATATTATAACTCTTGACCTATATTATAAATAAACAACACCACTGGTATTTAACTTTTATTTAGATTTAAAGCTTTTCTTTAAGATTCAACATCTTGCTTTTCTTTAAAATTAAACTTATCTTGTTTGTCTTTTTTCGTTGACTGTTTTCAGCATAATAGTACATATATAGAGTTGGTAATAGTAATAAATAGTAAAGTTTTTTGCCTTCTAAGTAAAGTATGTCAGGTTCTGGATTGGAGATTCTTTTGTATAGTGAATATTAACATTCGTTTAAAGATAAAAATGGTGATTTTTTATTAGTGAAACGTGACGTTCTCAAGTATATAAATAAGTTATCCGGACAATTGATTTATATTAGCCAATCACACTTAAAGATGCCAATAAAATTTAGTTATCTTTAAAAGGCATACAAAGATTATACAAAAAAAAAAAAAGAGGCTGCTATTTAGTAGTAACGGTAAATAGGTCTTTTTTATATGATCGATGGCCAGTGTGACAAATAACGTGATCTGTGATCATCAAATCAAATTTGATTGGTTGATCATGAGTCACATTTTGTTATTTTATTGGTTATCGCAATAAACCACTTAGCATCTTATGATAATCACGTGATTATTTGCAAGTGGTCAAATTCAATTTTTTGACTCAAAAATGAGACAAGTCATGTGATTGGCACCTTTAAGTGTCCTGCACTGTACAAAAGTTCAAAAATAAATAAAACAGATGCCCAAGTTCTGATTTAACCCAAGTAATTTCCATCGCTGATTGGTTGATTGCACAATGGGTCTTCTAAATCAACCAACAAACAAGCGAATAATGTGAAAAATACGGAAAACGAATGCTTAAAAAATGTCGGGAAGACAATTTTATATAGTCTTTTTCCCAGTCCTAACCCTAACCCTTAATCCAAATGCTAAAAGTAACCTTTAATATCCTTAACCAATCAGAACTGGGGGGAAATTAGTAAATTTTTTGAAGAATAGCTTGTATCTTAAAACTTTGCCTATGAAAATATCTTTTGTGCTTTAATAAAAAATGTTCCTTGCAAAATTTTACTATATTTGTATTTTTGTTTGCTATACAATAACCTCAACTCTAAATCTAACTCTAAATCTAACCCTAATTCTAACCGAATTTTTTTGCCACCACTAGTCTACTAGAATGACAATGTGCGATGTCATTTTAATGTCATTTGATGTCATTTTAATGTCATTTGATGTCATTTCAATGTCAACTTATTGGTGTAGATCAATGTAACCGTCAAAAATAAATTATATACAAAATTATCTGTTTTTCAACAAATTTTTTAAGATAATAATAAAACGATGGGAAACAAATTAAGTACATCATCCGAATCAATATCACGTATCCAGGAATCGTTACTATCACACTTCACGAGTGACGAACGCGAATGCTTAATTGGTGTGTTTAACAGATTCTGTGGGATCGATTCTGCCAATAATCATAATTATAACCTCAATGTCGTTGGAAAAGATGATCAAACTGAGAAAAAAGAAATAAGTTTGAGGGATGCTCAAGTATGATCTTTTCTTGTAGATAATTGACTTGTCATTGACATTATCAAAATAATTAAATATTTTTTATTAGCAACACTTTTCACAAATAATTTCCAATTCTTTAAAATACGGATTTGCAAAATACTTTCAATATGAGTCGATAAAAATTAAACAATCAACCACAACCAAATTATCATCAGAAAAACAAGAAGACCCAATCACGATACTCGGATTTCTGTCATCAATTCAGAAACTAAGACGATCACCATTATCCGACGAGGCGCAATCAATATTCATCATTTATCGTGCTTGCGGTGGTGCATTACGCACGTTTGTGCGCGATGTAATAGATGCTTCAATAATTTATTGGTTTGAAGGAGCTTATGATTCATCCAAGATTAATGATGTAGAGTTTATTTCAGCGGCGGTTTTGCCAAATGGTGATGATGGATTATTGGAATTTTTATTACTTATGGCAAATTCGTCAGCACATGATCCGGAAAATCCAGAAACATCTGCAGAAATACTTAAAACATTCGAGATTGATGGATACTTTACAGAACCGTTATTCATCAATTGGTACATGAAGAATATTCATTTTCAAATACTAATAAAAATCCTCATAGAGCGATTATTCCTATCAGCGCATCAATCCGCACTACTCCTCACGTCAAAACAGATAACAAATCTTCGTAAGACAAATCTCTTAGCACCACAAATAAACTCTCTTTTTCCCACAAAATCATTTTCACAATTACTTTCGCCGGATGACTATTTCCTCCTCGTTTATAATCTCCCATCGAATTGTCGTGTCACGCCACACACAATGATCTTCTCATCGACCTTCGACGGTGATAGTTGGCACACATTTGTCAACTCGTTGCTGTATCAAGGATCGACGATTATCGTCGTCAAGGACACGGATGGTTATGTGTTTGGGGGGTTTGTGTATGAAGATTGGCATATGCTGCCTCGATTTTATGGGAGTAATTTGAATTTTTTGTTTACTGTTCGGCCGAAATTGAGAGTTTATTCGGGGGCTAATGGATTTAATGAGAATTGGCAGTATTTAAATTCTGGCACACAAACTCTGCCCAATGGTCAGTAATAGTTAAATATGGTAGTCAGATTGAAATTATTTTCATATTTACTAATTGATTAAAGAAATGCTATTAGGCCTAGGAATGGGAGGACAACTCGATTATTTTGGATTCTGGATCGATTCCAATTTCATCACTGGTCACTCAAGAGCCGCGCCATTGTCTTCGACATATAATAGTCCAAGACTATCAAAGCAAGAAGAATTCAAAATTGATCAAGTTGAAGGTATAAATTGTTATTTATATCATCACCATATCATCATATCATCATATAACACGACATTTTCTCAAATAATATAAATATCATGAATCAAAGTTTGGCTCGTTAAACCAACAGAACGAGACCCAGATACAATACCACATCAACAAAAATATTCCGCGATGGACCGTAATCCTGCCGAGATGGAATTACTCGAGATGGCTGCTAACAATAACCCTACGCGAAAGATCGGATACTCGAGATTTGTACGAGAACCCGATGTAAGGCCTACAGATGATATTGAATAAGAATGGAATATCTGCCAATGCAAACTATACATTGTGACAAACTCGCTAATCCGAAGCACTAATTAAACCTGGATAATCCGGAATTGGTTATAGTAAATCCGCACTGATAAACCAGATTTACTAATTAAACCGAATTTTCTACTATATACGGTCAAAGCTCTATATAACGATCCCCTTATACAGCGAGATTTGGTTATTACGAACTTTTGAAAAATTCACGATTATAATAAAAGCATTCGTTTATAACGATTTTTCTTTAGCGCTCATTATAACGATTTTTTTGAGCTTGAGCCGATCCATCGTTTTGACTGTATATATCTATATATATCGATATAGTCACGACCACCTCATATATCCATGTAATGATGATCAAATAGATTGTGTTTATAATTTCTGTGTAAAGCATTCACGCAGTGAATGGTGATCCATATAGTGATAATTCTGGACCAAATTAAGATATTGTCACGATATTTTATTGATCATAAGATTTGGCACGTGGCGCAGCGATAAAAATTTTTAGCTCGCCCATCAAACTATCGTGTATATTACTGCAGAGCATTAGCTTTTCAAAACACTATCTTGTACATATTACAAACCTTTATATTTAATTAATTTCAGCTGTATAAACGCTAAAAAATGTATCATTTTCGCGACTGGCCTTGGGGAAGACTCATTTCTCGTGCGGGAGGCGCAGAAATTTTATTATACGGAATCACACACCAGTTTGGAAGCCGCTTCGAAAGTATCGGCTCCGCGACTAACATTCCAGACGGCGATCAAATTCACTGTCATATTGAACGCTTCGAAACATATAGAGGTGTAACCTACATTTTTCGTGATACTAGTACATATGGAACATACATTAACGACGAGTTATACAAGCATAAACCAAAGATTCTTGAAGAAGGAGACATGGTTCGATTTGTGACGGAAAAAGCTTTCTTTATATATACGTTTAAAGAGTATAAACGGCCTGCTCCAAGACACCCGAATCAGCCTGTAGACTGGAGTACTGTAGATATGAGCAAAATCACACCTTTGGAGCTTGCGTTTCTAATGATTCCAGACAACTGGGGACAACGTACATCATCACCCGACGATCAACCTTCAACGTCAATGGAGCCATACAAATGGGTTCCATTAAATCAATAAAAAAAAAACGAGATAATAAAGATGTGTGGTTTGTCCCAAATGCGCCATCTTTTGCAAGTTTCTATAATTTTTTGATTCGAATATTTAATAAATTCTATATATATGATTATTTTTTCCGTTTAGAAGGGCATCGAGTTTCAAGTTCGAGTATTGGTAGTCATACGTGGCAATCTTCAAAAGGAAAACCAATGTAACATTTCACTGGTAATGGTACACGAATATTATTATCAGGCAACGAGTACGAAATCGGATCATTAGCATTAATACGGTTTTTCAAAAAAAAAAAAAAAAGAATCTCGCTATCAACCGACAAAATATCATATAATTTCATGACATCTATTAATAGAGTCGATAGTCTGAGATTTTCATACGTGGACATTTATTAACAAGAATTAACAAGAATTTACTTTATCGTCTGTGGAATAAAAAAATTAGCTGATAATGACATGTGAAGGAAATAATTTTCCAGAAGTCAATATCCAGTATCCATTTCCATTTTTGATAAATAATGCACAAGTAATTACTTGTGCGCATGCATGCAACACAAAAGCTGTCAAAACAGTGTATAATGTATTGTTAGTAAAAAAATTTTCCACTATAAAGGAGGTCAATAATGATAAATAAACTAATACAAATGCTACTTATATAATATATGTAATATGAAAACTTCATTTCCGAAAAAAGATCAGAAGATGACAGGAGTTGAGAGAGCACCAGTGTTAAACACCGCGTGCGGATAGTATAATACAGAAAAGTTAAAGTGGTTTCTAAAGACGGCTTTATTTATTCATTCGTCACAAAAAGCATCCACTCATACAGATTTAATTTTGCTTATTTATTTCTCATTCTAAATATAAAGTTTCTAGGGTGAGCAGAAAAAACGAAAGATAAAGGAACGAAGTTTAACCTCTACAACTTAAATGTTATATTTGTGCCAAGAAAAAACACAGTATGAAATAATCGCGACGGAATGAAATCTGAAAAAATAAATTGGAACAATAGGATTGGTATTTTGACAGCTGTCATTTCGACCCAAACATACTGGCCCCCTGAATATATACATGTATATAGCGATGGTCCATAATTGAAGTACATTTAGTAAGCCGGAACTTTCTCTGACAGTTTCCAATTATATTAATAATGAAAAACTAGTTTATATACATGTATGGTGCAAAAGATTTTTATATGAACTTTAAATATAAAAAAATTAGTTTTTGACAAGTAACGTATTTTATTTTAGTTTAGTTTTATATATTTTTTACAATTTTAAATAAAAAAATAAAAAAATAATTTCACTCATAATAAATCTGACCAATCATATTCAATTTTATAAGTAGTGATCTGATGTGACTACTTTAACACCTAACTAAGAAGTAAATTCAAAATTTAATCCTTAGTTTATTGAATTTACGTACTTATTTGATAGTTTATATGTATATGTAAAATTCAAAATCTTCACATGATACACTTCATAAAATCGCAGTGGTTATATACCCGGATCAAAATTACAGTCAACTCGAATCATTTTTATAACGAATTCGGAATACAATGAACTTTAAATTTTTACAAAACGGTTTTATATATATATATATATACACACACACACACATATATATATATACATACATATGTAAATAAATAAAAAATAGATTAGCCCTAATATTCGGGATTCTATTCCACACTTTGATTTTTGACAGTAAAATAAAATGTTGATTCCTAATATATATATAATACGCGTTTTAGAATTTTTTCATCAGCAAATATGACTTGTAAATTTTGTGACGTTTCTTTTCTCGCACAACTACGCGAAAGAAAGTCATCTTTCTTTGATATAATAAAATAAGCATCCACATTCCCTAATACCACCAGATCATCAAACATGCACGCATTTTACGATACATTCTATCTCTCCGTTAAGAATATTGTTTCTCTCTTTTTGTTCTCTCAGGGAAATTCCAATTGATCAAGATTTCCCGAATCAACTTATTTTTATAGAAATGAAACCCTTTTTCCTATTCGCTCTTATCCTTTTTTTTTTTTTTTCGTATTTCTCATCTATTCTAGCACTATCAGAAACGAGTAATTTTTTTCACTTGTTCTGGACACGAGAAGAAAGGGCAACAGAACGCACAAAATAAAGTTGTGGTTAATCGTTATGTTATTTTTATTTTCTTAGCTGTGATTTATTTTGCCCGTTTTGACATGGTTTTTCTTTTTCGTATTTTCAAATTCGCGCGTTATTTTTTTGTTACTATTTTTTCGTATTCGTTATTTCTCATATTCGTTATTTTTTTTTCGGTTTGTGCCTTTTCAATTCTCTTTTTCAGCCCAGAGATAACCTTTATATACATACAAAAATGGACTTTTGTGAATCTTCAATTGACAATGCTTCTTTCAAAACATAGACAGACCACTGACACACATATACATGTATAGACACACGTTTGTGTCAATTCAAAAGTCTGAATTATATAAAGGGTAAGTTAAGTTTTATTATTACCTTAATTCCGGCTTTAACAGAATGTTTTTTTTGGAACACTGCTGCGGAGTCGTTTCGCACCCCGGGCAATGGATCACTACACTGCAACTGTAATTGCCATAAACAGTAATTATAGTAATTCTAAAATAATTCACATGAAAATAGTTATTGTTATATTTTATATTGATTTATTTATATATATATATATTCTCATGGTCAATCTTTTTTGTTCCCACGGTTTTAGTTTAAACAGGATCGTCAAATACGATCGAAAAGATAATGGTATGTTGAAATAATAAATACGAATTATTACTATTAAAATAATGCACATTATTAACAAATTTATTTCTTTTCGTGATCATACTAGAGATTCGTGTTATGTGTGTTAAGTTTAACAATTGAATGGGGGGAAAAACTTAAAAGTTAAATAGCAGTTAGATAAATGAATAGTGAATTAATGAACCAATCAACGCGTGAAACGCGATAAAAGACACTTGCTTTAATTAGGTACTTGCGAAAACAATGGTTTATTAACAATCATTCTCTTAAATATAGCATTTTTGTCATTCATTCACTTTATTCACACTACTCTCATTCGATCATCGCCTAACACAAACCTGACCAAAAAAAACCGTCTTTTTTAAAATTCCCTTTTTCCGCATTTTTCAAGTTTTTGTTTCAATGGAATTTCTTTTATTCTTTATTTTTTTTTGTATCTATTGCGTTATTCTCTTTTCAATTCTTTTCTGTTTTGGTCATAGTCAAATTTTTACCTTCGACTTTTTTTCGTAAAAATCAACGTTTGTAAACCCATTTTTTTTATTTCCTTCTCACGTTATTTATCTTTTTCCTAATTCTATTGCTTTTATATTTCATTATTCTCAAAAAAATATAGTACGAAAACATCATCTCTATCTAAGCTTTCCAAAACATTGCAAATTTCTTCATAATAGCTACCGTTAAAACGATCGTAAATCAATAAAAAAATTCGTTGTATTTGATCCTCAGAAAAATTTTTCGAAAAATCGAATTGTAACCTTAATTCTGGCGGAAAATTATGATAATCTTTGGTGTGTGTTTTTTTTGTCAATCATTACCAAAAAAAATACTGATCAATAATTTTCGCGTGCGATATACCTATTTTCATATTTCATATATATATATATATCATATCATATACATATATGACTGTCAATACTTGTCTAAAAATTCATGACTTCTAACCGTAGTCTTTGTAGAATTCCACCACATCTTGCACTCGAGCCAAAACAATTACGAAAACTCAAAGAGTACCCACGCCAGCCGATAATCACTACCCATGGACTACTAAGCAGAACAGAGCTAGAGCTGGTCGAGTGTTGCGACTGGAGCTTTGAAACTGCCCGAGTAGTACAACGGAAATGCGCACATTGGGTTGCGCCGAAAAGTGTTAGGGTACTAATATTTCTTTTTAAAACTTTTGTGTGGATGACGCTCTGCATGCACCAATGCGAGCGTCGTCAGGTTTTTTCTCACACATATATAATTTGAGTAAGAATATTCAGTTTATTATTTATCGCAGGTGCGCGAAATGTTGGGTAACAACGATATAAAGAAATTATCACCTTCGTTCTTCACTACGACCCTTGTAAACCTAGACTTTGCACTAGGTGGTGGGATCCATTGCGCGTCAGTCACGGAAATTGTTGGACCACCACGTTGTGGAAAAACGCAATTTTGTTTGACGCTCTCTGTACAGGCTACTTTACCTATCGAGATGGCTGGGTTGGATGGTGGTGTGTGTTTTATTGATACCGAAGGCTCGTTGTCGGCTGATAGGTTGGTGATTATTGTAACTAGTGTGTGGGATTATTGGTAATCGTGACCATTTTTCTTAAAGGTTGCTCAACATACTGATGATGACTTGGTTGTTGTGCGTGCATTTAGATTGGTAGAAATTGCGGAAACGCGATATCCACAGTACTTTTCTCGTAGAGATTTGAAAGGACAACGTAATTTGGAAAAAATGAAAAATTCTATTCACATTCTCGATGTTAAATCTTCAAAGGACATGTTGGAACGGTACAATAATTTTCATTATATAACTTTTCCCAATCGAGAAAATTCCTAATAAATTCTATCAAAATTAGCCTAAAAAACCTTCAAGAGTTTATAATCATGAAAAAAATCCGTATAGTCATAATAGATTCTATCGGATCACTGGTGATGAAAGAATACAGAGTCTCTGGGGGGAGTAATGGTAGTAATGGTTTCTTCAATGGGCAAAGCAATTCTGAGATTCTGGTCGAAAGGAATAATTTGCTAGTTGAGGAGGCAAAACATCTCAAGTAATTATTAATTGCTTTTGTTCTTCTCTTATGATTATACTCTGAAAAGAATTTATATTTTTTAAAATGCTAAATTCACAGATTCTTGGCCGAATCATTTCACATTCCTATAATAGTGACAAATCAATTACTAGTGAACAGGTACAATACAGACGTGTCGTCGTCGCTGTTATTACCATCGTATAAACGAACACAAACATACGGTTGGTTATTGGAACACGGAAAAACCCGCATTTCACATTTTTGTTAACCGAATACCAAAGTTAACCTTTATTATTCATTATGGTTATTATGTAAAAATAGATCGAGACTCCTCAGCAGTGATGGTAACAGCCGCACTAGGAAACACTTGGGCACATTCAGTCACCACGCGACTCATCATTGAGTTTTGTCATAACGATCTGTTGAAGATGATGACTTCCTCGTATACTACGTCGTCGTCAATTTTATCATCATGTAAGAATATTTTTCGGATAAAAATCGCAAAATCGTCGATTGCACCGAATTTTGCATTTTATTATTATATAAGTAGTCAAGGAGTCGTGGAACATGATCCGCCGTTATCTAGTAATAATGAGACAAATGCTTCAACTACTACGATGCCAACCAGAACAAAAACTACAAGAATAACAGACACGAACAATAATTATAGTGAGATTATTATTGATAAAGAGAACGTGCCACTTTCACGGCAAGCATCACCAACACCGCTGTCACCATTGACCCTAGTATCACCAGTATCTTCTATTTCAGATGATAATGCTTTATCAGAGACATTAACAACAGAATCACTTCGAAGACAACGAAAATCCAGAGACAAGGAGCACATCGCAGATTGGTTTATAAAAGAACTATGGTCTTCATAACATTGTAACTTTAATAATAATTATTAACAATGATAATAATAACAATAATGATTTGGCGTATTATTAATCATTGTTGCTTTTAAAAAAGAAAATTTTGGCACACATGAATAAATTTCTCCGGACAATAGATGAAGGAAAGAAAAAATGTAAGGTGCGTTTTTTTAAGGAAAAAAAGAGTATCAAGTCGGTGGTGTAATTGATCTTGTGATTACTTCGTCGACACGTTCACGATGTATTGAAAATGAAGGTGTTATCCAAGCACCACATGAACATTGCATTCCTTTGGCACGAAATCAATAAAACCCGTAAATTATCACGAATACAAAAATCTTGTCAAAAAAATAAATCAAAGAAATGAACAAACCTGCCCAGTTATAATTACCCAATTTAGAATTACACTTTGGACACAAAATCTTGCCGTCCAATTCTCCTTGATGCGCATCAATTATCCATTGTAATGGTTCGATAAAGTACGCCGAGCATTTAATGTTTTGATCAACATCATTTTTTATTGACGCGTCGCGCTTTTTAAATGAAAAGGCGAGTTGACCTTTTCCTGATTCGTGTTCAACAAAGTTCTCGGGTGATATAATTATGTTTCTTGGCGAAGGGGAATAATATTTGTGTTAAGTTATTAGATGATTAGTTAATTAATTAATTAATTAATTAAAAATTACCTGCATTTTTTGCATTTAAGCCCTGTTAGAACAGTGGTAAGTTCTTGCGGCATATCTGATTTTTCTCGCAGCATAGGAAATGTGATCGTCATTTACGTGTATAAAACTGTTCGCATATGCCGAAATTAAATGGAAATAATTCGGCAAATACTCGAATCGGGTGATATGAAACCTTATTTTGGATCATCGTCATTGTTCATTGTCAAATAAAATATAAATAATTTACGCGCGAGAATACCTTGACCAAATCAATTTATTAAAAAAAAACGAGTTCTACGTACATTGATTGATACGAGGACGCTGATAAAATGTCACTTCGTAAAAAAATATATTGTGATTCCTCGTTAGATGTCGCAAGCGATAATGGCCAAGACTCGAAAAAATATCGGTCAGAATCTAGTAGCAACAGTTTTTTCGTGAACCTGTTTAAAATTTTGGGTATTTTGTTAGCGGTATTCTTTTTGTCGTCGTATTTTTTTACAGAGACTTGGACTTGGGATTATAAGGGTAAATACACTAATTGGCGGAACTGGATTCCGGTAGGATTATATTTTTTATTGGGAGAGAAATATGGATTTTCGAAGGAGAAAGGAAAAAGATCAATTGTTCGTTTTTGATTGGTTTATGCTTTGATTTCAAAAAAAAACTAGCGTAAAGAAACCGTGTTCACTTTGGAGGAGTTATCAAAATATGATGGATCTGATCCTGAGCTTCCGATCTATCTTGCTATAAGGTAAGTTTTCAAGATGATGTTTTTTCTCTTTAAAAATATTTTGTTCATGTATTCTCATTTAATCATAATAGTGGTGAAGTTTTTGATGTTACTCAAGGAAGAGACTATTACGGAAAGGTAATTGATTAGTTTATATCGACCCTTTGATCTTTTCATTTTTGGTGTCTGCCTGTTCTTCTAAAAAGAGGGTATAATTACAAGTAATGGGATTTTTGTTAAACAATTAATTTAAATAAAATCCAAAAAGGGCGGTTCATACGGATTTTTCTCGGGACGAGATGCGTCGCGAGCATATGTCACTGGATGCTTTGATTCGCCGTCACATTTGTCTCACGATTTACGTGGGTTGACTCCAAATGAATTAAAGGTATTTATTTACGTCTATTACGTCCATAATTCTACGTCTTTGATTATTTAATCGATTTGTTATTTCTTAATTTAGAGTATAGAAGATTGGACTTCGTTTTATCGCGACCACCACACCTACTTCAAAGTGGGAAGAGTCGCACTTCCACCAATTGATCCCAATTCGCCGATTCCACCATCTTGTAAAGCTGCTAAGGAACAAAAACCTTGATGACGATATCTTATTCACTTTGTTTTTTAAAAAAAATTTCCATTTATTTATAATAAAATTCGGGGCATTTAATAACATTAAAATTAAAAATTTACACATCAAAAAACCAATATTACCATGCATATTTTTCAAACCGACAATTTTGATTTTGTGATTGACTGGATTAAAAGTACAGATCAGAATAGAACTCTTATTTCTCCTACACTATACTCATTTAAACTTACAAAAATTTTGTAATTTTCGTGATTGACTCGAGAAAGACTCGTTTCTCGCGCAGGAGGCGCCGAAATTTTGGGTCACACTGAATGCCTTGAGGCACCACCTACATTTTCGTGATATTAGTGATGCAAACATAACTTATATATTAGAAAGTGGTATTGAAATTAGGGTTCTGAAAAAGTCTGGTTTGGTTTGAATCTGAAGTCAGTTCAAAAAAATTCAAATTCAATCCTAAACCTAGTTTGAGTTTGGTTCAAACTTTGAATCAGTTCAAGATAAAATTGTAAATTATAATCAGAGTTAAAAATTGGTGTAAAATAGTTGAAATTGATAATAAACATTTAGAGAATTATCATAAAAGTCCAAAAATAAGTAACACTTTTATATTATTTCAGAGAATAAAATAAAAGAATAATATTATAGATTTGCTTACTAATTGATGAATTAACTTGCAAACATGAACAATAATTGAAAGAGAATTAAATAATAAACAAAATAATAATAAAAGATGAAGTTTTTAAGTCCTATATTAATTTTTACTGGAATTATTTATTGTTTATTTATAAAATAAAAAAGAAATATATTACAAAAAAGAAAGTTTCATAATAAAAAAATAAATTAATTGCTTTGATATTTTTATAATAATTTTAAGTATTTTAGTATTATTAAGTATAATAACAATTAAAGTAGTTAATAGTTTCCAGGAAATTATTAACTACTTAGATTATACTATAATATACTCAGATATGTGTCATGGGTTGTGAAATATAACACAGATCAGGGTGTCGTGATCCAAATTTTGTGACACGTGGGAGATATATACTCCATACCCAAATGGGTGTCATAATCCAAATTTTTTAACACATGGGAGATATATATCCCATATCCGAATTAGTGTCGTGTTTTGTATGTCACGACACATATGACATATCATATGCCGATTTCTCGATTGAGATCAATTTTCGTTGCTAGGATACACGTGTAGTTGACATTAGATTGAATATATCTTCAGATTGAGAATATGCTATTTTAGTGAAAGAACTATCATCTGGAGAATTAGTTTGTTGTTGTGTTTGTTCTTTAGACATTATTTTAATAAGATTTGAATAAAAAGTTTAAATAAGAAAGACAGTGAACTATCGAATGTCAGTTTGGAAATCATGATCGATTTCTGTCATGGGTAAAAAAAATATACCCGACGATTTATTAGATCATATGTCGTTATTTGTGGACCCGATGTGAGGGCTATGCCCGAACCTGGCACGTAGTGCCTTAGCTTTCTGGTTAATTCCTCGATGAGGGCCAGGTTTGAGGCACATAGTGCCGAAATAGTATTTATGACCTGGCTTTGTGTGATGCACTCGAGGATGAGGCACTACGTGCCGAATTGTTAGCTTCGTATAATTCATTCAAATATCATCTGAGAATGAGACACATAGTGCCGAATTAGTACTCCTATCTGGTAATACATCAAAGCATAATTTTATAATATATATATCTGTAATAATTTTACCTTGGCGTATTACCAAAACTATGCTATGTTTTCACAACCTGGAATTATTTCTTACATAGTTGATATTATTAAATGTTATCCATATGTAGTATTCCTACTTTGGTTATTAGGTTTGAGGCACATCGTGCCAAAATGATATCCCCATTTGGTAATACACCAAAGCATAATTTTATAATATATATATATCTGTAATAATTATTCCTTGACGTATTACCGAAAGTTAGCTATATTTTTCAATTCCAGAACTCTTTCTCGCATAGTTGGTGCCTTCGAGTACTTTGCTTTATGTTAAAAAATTGGATCACATTTGATAACCTTGACGTATTATTTTTTTGAAAACTTTGATGTATTACTTTTTTGAAAACCTTAGCGTATTACTTTTTTGAAAATCTTGGCATATTACTTTTTTGATAACCTTGACATATTACTGAATTGGCTATATTTTTGATAACCTTGACATATTACTGAATCAGCTATATTTTTGATAACCTTGACATATTACTTTTTTGATAACCTTGACGTATTACTAAATCGATATAATGATAAGTCTGTATAAAGTATCAAAATTGCGCGACACAAAAACAGTTATCAATTAACCTAGCTTATCTATATATCGAGCCTATATCGCAGGTTTACAAGATTTTAATAATGGCAATTCGCTAAAATTTTCTTTTACCTTTGCATATCACTTATCCGAAATTTTTGTCACGAGCTTACGTAATGATTGACAAAATTGCACATCACAAAAATGGTCATCGACTACGTACCTTAATCTATATACCGAAAGCACTTATCCAGAACTTTATTTTGATCAAAATTCCACGACACAAAAACCCTCTTGTATAATCTAGGTATCAGCATATTAATTTTTGATTTAAATTTTTCTGAATACTTATTGTAAGAGGTGACAAAAACCCCCTTACCCAAAATGTATAACTAGCTGAATGTAACAATCTCTCTGCTCCAGAAATTACTATTTAGCTAGGTTATATATATTTGATAAGAGCCAAAGATTTACTTTTCAGTTCTTTTTTGTGTGGAGTAGTAGGAACTTTCATTTTAGCCTTAAAATTTCGTTTATATTCCAAGAAAGTGACCTCATTCATACTCTCACGCTCTTTTTTCCAATAATTTTAATTATCTTGCCATTATTTCAATTTTTCTTTTGACATTTGGAATTTTTGTTGTAAAAGAAGGATAAGAGTACTTATATCAGATTCATTTTTGATGAGATATTCTGAAGATAAAGAAATTAAGGATTCAGGTAACTCTTTTTTAGCTTCAGTAATGCTTGAGAATTGTTCAGAATCGGTAATAGAATTTTGGCAGGGCCCCTCGGCTGAAATTTCAGGAGTTGAAGACGAGTCTTTTCCTGCTATATTATTACAAGAATTATTTTTACAAACCTCATTACTGGATTTTGAAATGGTGATATCAGTAGTAATGGGTATTAAATCAAAAAGTTCCTGAGTTTCATCAATTGATTCTGGCTTGTATGGTGGAAGAATTGGAATTGTAGGATGATAATTAGGATCATTCAACTTTATAGCCTTTATTCTTTTTATAGTTCCAAATCCAGCTCCATCACGTGATACGCAATAAATCCAATATGTGTTTTTCCAAACCTGTTGTCCTTTAGATCCTACCAATTTTCACTCGCTTTTTATAGTATAACCACATCAATTATCTAGTATTGCATTAATAAATTTTATTGTAGCATTGAGATCTGGCATTCCTTTAGCTTTGGTCTTAAAACCAAAGAGTAATAATGCATCTTCTCGAATTTTAACAATTTTTTCCCGTGATTGTTCGAAAGCTTTTGCTATGTCATCACCAGAAAGAATATTTGTGTCATCAATGTCGGTGAATCCTAATGATTGGAAAAGGTTATGCACTGCTTTCCATTGTTTTACCGAATAGAATTTGTGCAAATTGACGGAGGATGGATCCATAGAATCATGTGAATCTTCTCATTGCATTTCTTCTTTGATTTCCAGATTTTTTATAGCTTTTGTTGCATTAGAACCTTGTCTTCTGAAACATGCCAGTCTTCTAAAATATTGTAAAGATTCAGGATTATTGAATTTTTTCACAAAATTTTTATTACAAAGTTTAATCCAATCATCATTATTCATACTCCAGTCTTGAATATCATCCTTGCCACCAATATCACCTGAAGCATATATTCTCTATAAATAATAACGTTGTAAAGTCATATTGTCAGCAAATGATCATTCAAGATTTAGTTTAAGTATTTCAGCTTCATCAGGAGTAATATCAGGTGCATTGGCTATTGATTCTGCATCAGAGTCTTTGATCTTTTTCTCAATCTCCTTAATAGTATAAGATACTTCTGTACGAGAAGCTTTGATACCTTCTGTTGAAATTAATTCAAGTGTTGCACCAATACTAGCAATGAGACTGCATAGAATTTTGGGAAAATATTTGGCAGATAGGCGTTTCTGATATTCAACCTCAATATAAGTTTCGACTGCTGGTAACGAGTCAATAATATAACAATCAGCAATTTTGTCCCATTTACGATGTCCTTTTATAGCAGTTGGTAAATCTCCAGGTCTCAAGGCAGAGAGTTCAGCACGAATGAGATCACGATTCAGTTCTTTGAAGATGCCAGTTTTTTTACTATTATAAAGAGAAATAGTATGATGCAGACAATTACGTACTCGATAAAACATTTGCGCAAAAGCTTCAGCATGTACTCCTGTGTTAATATTGCTTATTCCTATAACTGCATCAAAATGATTAGAAATTTCAAAGGAAATACTGGCTTCTACAGTACTTGTATAAACCACGCAATCAAGAGCACTCCAAGTAGCATTGATATTAGTAAAATCCTCTTGACGCTGTTTTCCATCCATTTGACCAAAATAAACTCGTGATAAAACGCATGAGCCATCTGGTTTTAATAACTTAGAAGCTTGAATAGCTATAGCTCTAGCTTTTTTGCATGCAGTAACTGAAAAGGCAACCCGCTTACCTTCTTCAAGCATCTTAAGACCTCTACGTATAGCCTCTGCTCCTTTGTCTGGATCATAAAGAATTTTTACAGACTTACCTTTATGTGGCTGATACTTATTATCAAAAACTCGTATATTTTTACCTCGATATTGTCTTAAAAAGGTTAATGTACTTTCATTCACAAAGGTATCCATAGCTACAACATGAACTGCCGACTTTAACAAATCTCGCATGGCATTTTCAGATTCTCGAGCATGAATTCCACTATTCATTTGATGCATAATAGCAT